ATGATTTCATCAGTATATTTTTTTGGTTGTGCTGATTTCTTGTTGTGTGTTTGTTCTATGTAAGCATAATCATCAATGTCGTTTAGGTGCTGTTCAGCCATGTGCAAATTATATTTTGAAAGCATGATTTTTCTAAATTTTATAAAATTACACCATTCCCTAAATGAAAACAACCTGTCAGTGGGCATTGTACATGATCCTAATTTGTAAGACTTCAAGTAACAATTATCATTATTAATTTTGTCGACAACATCCGACAGTGATATTTCATAATCATCATCTAAGCCAAAACACATCTTAAAAGCAACCAAAACATAGGACATAACCACACATTCATAAGCTGGGAAACGCACCATGGTTTTTATCTCTTTTACATCAATTTCAAGATAATCACAGGGTACTAGTTGCATGAGGGATAGAACCAAATTTTTGAAATCATTTGGAAGACATAGTAATTAATTAATAAACTTATCAACAATCTTTTTCAAATCAGGTAAACGGGGTGCTATACTAAAACATTTGAGAAATGAAATTGAAGTCAGTAAAGTATCCTCGAAGAAGGCACCAAATCTTCTTTGGAAAGTCTTCCAGCCTGGTATGTGATAAATTTTGATTTCTTTGGGTACATATTTGCTACAATTGCTTATATCTAATCTACCTTCTCTTGTAAACCTTATTAAATCAGACATTTGAATATCGCTGTCATCTAAATTTAGTGCTACATACAATAAGCTAAGCAATGTTGACTTTCTTAAAACATCGACATCTTTTGTCATTTTCGGCAGATTTTCTTTTTTCTTTTTCTTAAATATTTCTTCATTAGATTGTTCTTTAATCTCTGTATTAACAGAAGAATCGTGATTGTCTTTGGGCAACCTAAAAGACAACACAATCTAAATTAAATATTAGTAATAGTAAGAGGATAGCATAATGTTTCCGATAATGTTGAACATGAGCAACAAAAAAAATGGATATAGTTCTATCTGGAAACTTCTCTCTTCTGTATGGAAACTTACCAGGTTTTGGAAAGTGTCACCTTGGACTTACATGACTTTAAAATATTGTCTATGGACTTGCAGCAATTTGAAATACCTCAACATTTTTAGGATATACTCTGGGTAGGTGTGGGTATTGTATCATGAATTAAATATTTCAAAAAATAATACACATCTTCTATAAACATCTTTAATATTTTTTTACTTAAATCAAACCAGGACAGGAAGGAAATATATGGGACAATGTCTGTCAACTTATATATAAATATGTTGTAGAAGTCTCTCCACAAAATGTAGACAAAGTTGATGAGCAAATTAATAATTTTCCAGATGTAATGGATGAGGTCTTCGATTTTATGTGATCATGTTAGAGATAACTATTATATTTTGTCAATAAATATTAAAATTATATATTTTTTTTATATACTTCATTCATGATACAGTACCCACTAGTGATGTAACGAATGTTGGATTTTTCACATTCGGGAATGCGAATATTTATCTTCAACATTCGCGAATGGGAATGCGAATATTTTAAAATTTAAATAAAAGCGTGCGTAAATGGTTTTACAGGTTTGACGTTTCGTGTCGGCCATGTTTAAATTGAACATAGCCGAGCCAATATTGGTTAATTGAATGAATTTAGTCACAGAAAGTTCATTCTAAAAGTTTTGTTTTGTTTTGAGGTTAGTTTTATGTTTTGAGTGTTATGAGGTTACATTAAATTATTAAACTTTAAATATCTAATGTATTACATTAGATATTTAAAGTTTAATAATTTTGTTTCAAGTAATTGTTTAGTTTTTTAGTAAATAGAAACTGTAAACTTTATTTAAAAATGGTGGTAAAGTAATAATATACTACTAAATAAATGCAAAGCTTACATAGTTGTAACAAGGCTGATTAATGTTGGATTTGATCAGATCTCTGAAGTTCTTTTTTCATAAATGAGACTTTAATTTAGCATGTAGAAGTATAATTTAATAAAAATATCTAAGTGTTATCTTTTGTATTATTATTTCATATGCATGCATATAATAATTTCCTTTTTGATTATTAAATACATTCGCTAAATATTAGCATAATTTTTGCGAATGCGAATGCGAATATTGAAAAATATGCGAATATTCGCGAATGCGAATATCCGTTACATCACTAGTACCCACACATACTCTGAGTACGGAAAACATATACAAAAGCATTTCCGTTAGGTGAATGGCCCCCTGGTCAAATTAATTGTGAGACTTCCCCCTCCCTAGTGTGTCACATATTTTGCAAATTTATGTTTAGAAATTATTGAATGAAAACAGCAGTTCTGAAATCAGTTTTATTTCCATTTAAATTGATTTTTAATAATATTAACATCAAATCAAACCATTAACAAAACAAAAAATATTAGTAGCATTATAATTAAATTAAAGATACAAACTTAATAAGCTCGAGTCCATAGACATTGAACCCACTCCTTTAAATTATTTATAACTGGCATAGCACCACTTTGTTCTTATTTGGGTTGTTAATGTTTTTGTAAAGTAATAGTTTCAACACTTATATTATAAGGGATTTTGAAATGTGATGTCACAAAATTTAGGACTCCTCCCACCCTCTTGTCACACTTCGTCGACCCTCTCCCTACCCCTTAACGTGTGACGTAATTTATGGATGGCCCCTTACTGTCTCTTTTGGAATCTTGTCATATTGTTATCTGTATAAATGCACAACTAGGGATAAAACAATATCACTAAAACCAAATACTTTCCTTTAGATACTTGCTGTATTGATACTTTGAAATTAAGCATCAGGTTCACTTACAAAAAAATAATATTTTTGGCGAGTACTACAAAAACTGACCCTTTTTTATATTTTTAACATTCCTATATTTTTATCAATAATTAATATTGATACTCATTACTGTTTTTATTAAATTAATTCTAATTTTTGCTGTGAATAATCAATCAATAAAAGTATCAATTGATACTTTTATGGATTGATACAGGTACAGATACAGATATGAATCTTGTAGATGGTTATTATTATTGCGTTGAATGTGGAACTCAAGATGAAAATGTTAGACAAACTGTAATTGTAGAAATAGTGGCAGATGATGGAACCCGAAGTTTCAAACAGAAAAAAAATTTACCACCATTGTTGAATAAAAGAATGAGTGTAAGTTAGTCATAAGTTTACAAACATTAATTCTTTGCATTGGTTAAAACTCATAACCATCAACACCAGCCTACTGATGTCCCCTTGCAGGGAGCTTTGTATGAGGACTAATAATACTGTTATTTAAAATCATAGTTATTGCTTCTTGGAATTACAGTTAATTTATTGTTTTACTCTAAATTACAGTGTGCAGAGAGTGGCACAAATGGCATGTGAATAATCAATCAATAAAAGTATTCACATTATTCACAGCAAAAATTAGAATTAATTAAATAAAAACAGTAATGAGTATTGATATTAATTACTTTTCAATTGATACCAAATTTAAATTGATACTTTATGACCAATACTGTATCAAGTAAAAGTATCAACAACTTGGCGATATTGTTTTACCCCTATGCACAATTCTAAGGTAGTCAATAATTACCCAAGCTCTTCTTTGTTCTGAAATTTCTTTATGTATTCAGCCCACAACCAAAGGGCCTTCATTTTGAAAGTATCCCTTGCTCCAGCTGCAATCAGCTCATCCACCAAACCCACAATGATAAAGTTGTAAGCATGCCATTTGTGCCACTCTCCGCACACTGTAATTTAGAGTAAAACAATAAATTAACTGCAATACCATGAAGCAATAACTATGATTTTAAATAACCGTATTATTAATCCACATACAAAGCTCCCTGCAAGGGGACATTAGTAGGCTGGTGTTGATGGTTATGAGTTCTAACCAATGCAAAGAATTAATATGTAAACTTATGACTAACTTACACTCATTCTTTTCTTCGACAATGGTGGTAAATTTCTTTTTCCGTTTGAAACTTCGGGTTCCATCAGCTAACACTATTTCTTCAATTACAGTTTGTCTAACATTTTCATCTTGAGTTCCACATTCAACGCAATAATAATAACCATCTACAAGATTCATATCTGTACTACCGCACACTTTACACGCATCAACATTTCTTTTTCTTTTACTCATTTTAAAAATAATTGTTAATTAAATATGCAATGCGAATCAGAAATGTGATTTTAATAAAACAAAATCTTCGCAATGTAGTATTCAAATTACTTTACGTCAAACAAAAACAAGCGCGAACGTGCACAATTACTAAGGGTGTATTCCGTAATATATACCAGTATACTAGCCAGTGCTAATGACATCATGAATCGACGCTATACTGGTGAATTGTTCCGAAATATATTGTCCAGTGCACTGACGTCATAAATCGACGAAATATTAAAAATAGTGCGGATAAAGAAGATTTTTTATTCACCTCATCAATTAAAAGGAATTCTTTTTGTTCGGATGCCATTATTGTTCTTTAAATAAAAAAGACTCCTATTATTATATTATTAGTTATGCTTGATGGCTGATAACGGACCCAGCGCGGATTGGTGGGTGATAATGGAACCAGTGCGGATTGGTGGGTGATAGTTTTCGTGAGCTCAAACTCGTACTAAGGATACAAGTTAAGTTTATGATTTTCAGATCAAAGGAGCTAATGAAGTTTCACTTCAGGTGTGTGGTTATAAGCACACTCGCTTTTTTTATTTGTGGTTTAATCCTTTTTGGGCTCTAGCCACTGCAAGACTTGCTGCTTCACGTATGATTTCAAGTGTATGCGATGATATGGATAATATAAATATATAAGTATAGTTATATAGAAATGTATGCATATATGTATTACACATCCATGACTTTAGTACGAATGCTCGTATTCATCACACAAACATCTGCCTCCACCGGAATTCGAATCCGGGACCTCAAAAAGGCGACACCTTGAAATCCGGCGTACAAACCACTCGGCCACGAAGGTCGTCATTCATCATAGTACTAACTTATCTTCAGGCGCTTTCTTGTTCCTAGCTGTAAGGTATCTGTGCGCGGCGCCTTTTTCAGTGCTCCCGTATAGTAAATGCAAGACTTCTGGTTCGATTGGTTTCATAAGGCTGTCGTCTTTAGAGGGAGCAAGTTCTCGAAGTGGAACTTTCACAGGCTTCTCCACAGGTTCATCGTAACGCTGAAAGATTGGGATAATTAGTAGCTTTTAGGCTAAGATCAGATGGTCGTGTCAAACATTCTTACGCGCATATAGTTTCTAAGTAATTACATAGAACCATTTAGATGATCACGCGTAATGAAGCGTTCACTTGCAGCTAAGTATGCGCTATCGTCGCAGGTATCTTGATACGCGCGTATTGAGTTCCTATAAACAAGTATCGGCCTGTTGTTCGGTTGATCCGCGAGACTTGTTGCGTAAAATATATGAGGCAGCGAAAAAGATATGAGGGTAGCCGTGTGTTATCGATTATCATCTGAACTCTTTTGACGCGTGACTATCTGAACATAGCCTTAAGCATATTTTTCTATAGAAAGCCTAGCAATGTACACCAAACGTCGGATCAGAGCGCCATTTCTGTCACGTATAGGACAGAAAATAAAGTTACGTTTACAGGCATTCTCATGCAGTTTCAACTAAAATTTATCGCTAAGCACGAATTTTTGAAAAGCTCCGTAAAGTATCATAATCGTAAAAAATTGTATGGAAAAAAGCTAGTTTGTTCTAACGTCTGATAGTGGCGTCTTTCAGAAATTATAACGATGCGATACGTTACGGAGCTGTGAAAATTCGTGCTTGGGACACAGCATGTGTTTAAAAAATTGGTTAGAAGAGTCCCGTTGCGAAATCGGTCAATTTAAGACTCATGCATGGGAGATTTTTTAAGGGAGGTAGGACATAGCGGATATCCCGCTCAAATTGAAGCGCCTGTCTGGGGAAGTAAACTCCACCTTACAGAAGATCATTGTAGAATAACAATACCTATTGGTGGTTTAATGATTCTGTCGGTGAGTAAGGTTCCAGGGGCGCAGGTGCGATTGATTTTTTTGGGATCTCAAGCGTCTATAGGCAATGGTGACCGCTTACCAGGTGGGCCATACATACGCTTATTTGCCACACTTTTAACATAAAAAAGAAATACTTGGCTCCACCAGCCAGCACAGCATCCATCACCTTACTAGCCTAACCCGAAATCTTTAACTATTGAAGTTTTGGGCGGTACATTGGAACTTCCAAAACTCGACAATATTGTTATTTGAAGATACAGATTAAAATACTAACCAGAAGTTGTATTATAAACATTTCATCATCAGCTTATTAATGTCCCCACTGCTGGGACACAGGATGGAATGGATGATGGATGGAATAGGCATACTGGGCCATGACACACCACGCGGGCCCAGTGTGGATTGATAGGTGCTAACGACTGCAGATGCAGCCAGAACCAACATCTAAACGTGCCTTCCCAAGCACAGAGGAGTTCCGAGATAGTAAATTTTTGGGCGACCATCCATTGACCGACCACTGCGAAAGTTCCTTCTTCAATCGAACGCGCTAACCAAGCCAACGAGCTTCCTCTATATATATATATATATATATGAATTCTTAACATGAGACAATTCCTATGTTACAGCGAAATAATCAATATGCGCATATTCAGTATGATATCTTCTTTTAGCCCTAACCGACTGCTGTTTTTGTTTCCCGTTTCGTTAATGTCGGGAAAGTTCCGTTGTTCGAGCGAGATATCGACATTACCTACACATAAGTAAGATTTGAAAGAGCAAAAGTTGGACCATTTTTGTTTACCCATCTACAAATACTTACTGAATATTCAGGTTATTGTACCAGGTGTTTAAAGTCACTATTTCATTCGTAAACAAGCATGGATGGATCTCGTTATCATGGCCCTTGAGCAACCTCTGTACTTTTTAGTTTCTAATATTATTCAACAAGTGTTGAAATAATCCTAGTCTTTCTACCCAACATTCATCTTACCCTTAATAACTCAGTAGCAAGGGCGATGGATGCATCCACCTCCCTCGCCTGCTGCTCCTTGCGATCTTCAAGGACGCCCATCAAGTTGTTCTGGTACCACTGCCGTATGCGGCGGTTCGATCTGTTCATCGCGTCAGCATAGTATGCGTGATCCATTTTTGATACTAGTTATTTACTAAAGATTTAGATAATATTTATTTTAATAAATACAATAATTTAGAATTATAGTTTTTGTTGAAAATGTAATGTTTACAAAATATGACAGTGTCAACGTTAGACAACTTATTACATAGACTCATGGCGATTCTGCTGTTCGCGGTGTTGATTGACACACGTGTTCGCGAAGAATCACGAAATATTGAGTTTTTGTACTTTTGTGTTCTCCTTCTTGTTGTTGTTAGTGTTTATTATTACTCCCATTATATGTAGTGTTTACTAAACATAATTCCCCAATAAAATGTCCGATGAATAACCTCCTGACGGTGGCGGGCCTTCCCGTCCCAGCCTGGTAGGTGCTGAATCACAACCATTATTTACTCCAATAATTATGGATACAGATGGTCACTCAACATCAAAACGCCCTGCATCACAACTGCACCATTTTGTTATCTCTCCTAGGAGACACCAAACCATCTGAATCTATCTAAAATACCCACAATAACCCAGAACTCGAGGGAGACTCTCCACTAACCTATAAAACAAATGAGTCCCTTTATTGTTCAAATATCACGCAAAGAACCAGAGCCTTCTTCTGTTTTAACAATCCGCACTCTCAAACTGGCTCAGCTGCTGCATAAGTATAAAATAAAAGGTACGGGTAATGGCGGGATTACACTTGCAGGCCGTAATAAAATTTCAATGAGTTCAGTTTTGCAGAATACGTTAACTCTTTCCTTGCAACGAATTCCTAAATAGCACGTTTCACGCATGGGTGTCATCGGAGGGATTCCTACTGAGTGGACCCTTAAAGAACTATTCTATGGATTATCTTACTATATGCTCAGGAAAAAACCGCAATATCAGAGTCTTCCAGCGAGGTTGATTAACATTATAAGTAGTTTGTATATGTCTAGAACTGTTACGGTCAGGGTGAATGGAGTCCTACAAACAGCATGATCTGTCTGGAACGGCCTTCCTCAAGGTTCCGTTTTAAGTCCGCTGTCATATAATCTGTACATATATAATCTGGACAGATAAGATAATAGCTTCTGCAGAATACTACAATATGTCGATGATATAGAATTGTATATCTCCTCCATCTTTGAGGTCCTTGGACCTTAAAGATGCCCCTTCGCGAATAAACGCTGCCTCGTATTATCTTGATGTTTGGCTTACTGAACATGGTCTTCCTAAGTATGTCACCAGAAAAGTCAAAAGAACTTGTTTTTTCGCGCAAAAGAACCTTATCTCTATTGAACATTTCCGTGAACAACTAACAGATTGAAATTGTTAATAACTGTAATTTTTTAGGCATAATATTGAACGCTAAAATGAATGATGTATCTCACTTAGAATTAATCAGCAAGAAAGCAGAAAAATCTGTCAACATTCTTAGATCCCTATCCAGTGTCCATTGGGGATGTATGTATTGTCCCTTGTAGTCAGAAACAGCTATAGAATGCAATAGTCGGAAATCATTTCGAGTATGGAAGTTTTGTACTGGAAAATAGCTCTCAAGAAATTAACAGATATCCAATCCAAATGTCTTCGCATAATTACTAGCGCGATGCGTTCTTCCCCCATTAACACCATGCAGGTAGAATGCCTCGAACCCCCGCTTCATCTTAGACCGCCAGCTAACGAGTGATAGATATTTATTCAATATTGCTCAGTACTCAAATGATCCACTATTAGAAACTCTAAAAAAATCTGTAAATTCAACTTAATGGACTAATAAGGAACTCCCTCCCGTAGTTAAGTATAAATTGGTGTCGATTCTGGCATGACTCTCTAAACCTAAACTTAAATTTGACAACAGTGCATCTTTGTCATTCTCTATACAGAATGAAAAGGAGAGACTGATGTTAAATTTAGTTTTAAGTTTAGAGAATCATGCCAGAATCGACGCCATTATCTAAAAAGCTAACATCTCCAATCTCACAATCGTCTTCGAAACACCTACCTAACTAAAACCTCACTGGAAGCAAAGAACACATTCCATAAAATTCGGACCAAAAATTGGCATTGAAAGAAAGGGGAAAAGTTGGGATAGCCGTCTGGTTCCCAAAATACAGAAGCATCTTAAATTATAAGGGCTCCTGCCTCATACCTGTATAATCTGGAGAAGCCTTGGTTGGCTATATTAGAAGCCTTTACATATATTTATTCCCACCAATTAAATAAATGTATACCTATTTTTTTAAACTGCCTCAGTTGTCTTCAGTAGCCTCCATTCCTCTCCAAACAAATTTTTTGTGTCATCCTTAAGATTAGTGAAGGCCTTATTAACTGCTACAAGTCCAATCTAGAAGTCGTCTTAGCCTAGATACCAGGCCAAAAGGGCATTGAAAACAACGAAATTGCTGATGTATGTGCAAAAAATGTGTATATTGGTTGGTATAGTGTGTATAAATATAAAAATGTGTATAGTGCTATATTGGTTGGTCTGAGTTTCAAAACCAATTTTATTCCCGCAATAACCGACATATGGCTAAAACAATTATGCTGGAAAGATGAAATGATATCAAGAATCTTACCAACTAAGGGTAAATACTATGGCAGCTTACAACCTGACATCTCATCAAAACCTTGTTTCTTCCGCCATAAACATATACCTACCGAAATCTTATAACATCTAACATCATTCGCATGAGATTAGGCCAAATATGTACTCTAGTTTTTCTGTCAATAATCAAAATAAGAGATTCACTTTGTGTGTATGGATTAGATGAAGGGACCCTTGAGCACATAGTGGTGTCGATTCTGGCAGGATTCTCTAAACTTAAAACTAAATTTAAGATCAGTCTGTCCTTTTCATACTGTATAGTGAATGACAGGGATACACTGTTGTCTTTAAATTTAGCTTTAGAGAATCATGCCATAATCGATACCATTGTTTCATTGCCCTAAAATTTTTGTTCCTCCCTGTACCAAAAAAGGCATGCCCCCATTAATCTATACATTGTGCAAGTTCCTGAAACAAATCAATATAAAACTATAACTGTCCACAATAAAAATCCTCTTACCCTAGTTATACAATATCAATACGTATTTATATCTGTACTAGCTGACTCGGCGAACTTCGTACCGCCCAAAAGTAATAATTTTCAATAAATTAAAATTGCGACTATAATTTGAGATTTAAACTATCCTATCTCTCAAGTTGGATCGAACTGCACATGGTGTGCGAATTTTATTATAATTGGTTAAGTGGTTTAGGAGTCCATTGAGGACAAACATTATGACAAGAGATTTATATATAATAAGATATACATATTAAATGCATGGGTGCCTGGTACCATAAATGTGTTGTTGCAGATACTTAATGAGTCTGCAGTCGACATACTGCACAACATGAACAAAACCATACAGGCTCAGCATATATCTTGTCTCCTTTAACCTAGAGATTGACAGAAACATCACATAATGTGACGCAGCCATAAATTGAATTACATAAGACTCATATAGACTCTACAAAAACAAATCCTAATGAGAAGAGTTCTTACTTATGGTAAAGGAGTTATAAATATAATATGTTTATTATATAAATGCCTTTAATTCATAATTCTTCAACTATTAAACTTAAAAAATATGATCAATAAAAAAGGAATGTACATCTATTTACAGGTTCAATGCTTTTAAATTATTAACAAATAAGAATCAGTTTTGGCTTTGTGATCTAGCCGATCTTCTTCCCATGACTGGGCTGCCTCCCATCTGGCGCAATAAACCACGGAGGCCTTTGGCTTCTCTGACACCACTGTCAAGCTGTTCTGAAGGCACAGCACAGAAATCATCTACGAGTGGCAATGGTCCACTCAACCTCTCTGAATATTGAGAGAGACGAGACTGGTGGCCTATAGGGGAGGTCTTTTCCAGTGATGTTGGCTGTTGCTGTATCTGTAAGATAAAAAAAAATGTAATTGAGTACGGCAGTGATTCTTTAAACCTAAAATTAATTTTTTATCTATACAGAATGAAAAGGAGAGACTGGAGTTAAATTTAGAGAATCATGCATGAATTGATACCATTAATTTATTAAGTTTTGTGTATTTATAACGTGTACAATAAATTGCAACACATACAAACTGCTAGAAAAGATGATTTTTACTATATTTCAGAAGCACAGTTGGCAAATTATATTCTGTATTGTTTTGCTCATCTCTCACCTTTCCTTTCAAAGCGGCTAATTCATCTTGCAGTCTTTTAACTAAAGCAGCATCACTTTCATAGCTGGTGAGGGTTGGTTGTGGCATGCACTGGAACACAGTGGCCAACAGGTTGTGGAGAGAGACAAGTACACTATCTTGCCAGGCGCGCGTAAAATATAGGCTGAATGACGGGTTCTCCTCTGGCTTTTGAATATAAGGTAGCACTAAAGAAAAAGAATTTAATTTGTATCACACACATATTAGTAATATTCAAATGTGATACAAGTTTAAATAAATTGCTTTATGAGAACACCTGAATCACAAATATAAAGAAACTTACTAAACCAATCTCTCCATTCATTCTGCCCTTGAAGCTCTGGTAACATTTTGGCTAAGAATTCTGCAACTTTCTCATTTCGCACTCCGCCAGCACTTTGAGCAGCCGTTACCAGATACAACTTATACAGGCTATACTCCAGCTTTCGAACGGCTGTAACAGATGAAAGAACTTAAATTCTCTGTAGGAAATGCATCGCTGTAAATTCGGGGATAAGCTTACCAGGCTGAACATGAATTTCCAATTTTGAGAATACTAGACTGTCAAGGTGAGACCAATATTCTTTAAGACCATTTAAATCAGAAACATTGATGTAATGTAAAATTTGATCAATTATTTTATCCACCCTAAAACCCTTGTCTTTATCTGCCCTAAGATCGGTATCAAAAGCTTTTACGGTGGTGTTAAACCCTCTGAATAATAAGTATTCACGAACTAATTCATCTACACATTGTATATGAGCCATAATTATCAACAAATTATTATTTGATTTATTTAATTTGTACCAATGTTTGTTTTGTATTTTTTGATAAATTGAGAAGTCAAATAGTCAATCACGAAACATCAAATCATCAATCAAATTGAACTTGATTGAATTGAATATGAATACCAACCAAGGAGTACCAATATAAAGAAAAATTAAAAAGCGTTTCGTTTAAGCGAGTACTTCAGCTACCCCTAGCACGAACCATTTTGTAAACCGAAATGTCAATGACAAATTTTGTATGGAAACTTGAACAGCAGTGCCACAAAGTACGTAACTAGAACTAAAAATCAGTACATATTTGAAAATGACATTTCGTACTCGCATTCGATACGAATTCGATATTGGTTCGTGCTAAGGGTACAGATGACTTTTCGCATGTACTGTATTATTACTTTAGCTATTTTGGCTATTTGTCAACTTCACAGCAGTATATCGTTATTATGCTCTATAAGGAATGAAAGGGAGAGCCTGGTTTCAAATTAACAAATACGAATAGCCACGTAAAGTGTCAGCATTACAAAAGTAACTTTTTTGATAGATTATGTTTAATTATATTATTATTTTCTATAAAACTAAAAATTCGTAGTTAATAATAGTTCTATGCCTTGTTATTATCGCAACGCAACAAAGCTATCCCAAAGTAAACTCATGTAAGTAATAAAATATTTTAAATAATGTGAACGTGCCCGACACAGCTTTCGTTCTCCATTTTTTTTATTTCATTGCGGGAGTTTTTGACGGGATTTCATTGAGTGCGGTTGGCGTCTTATTTTAATTATTCTTCAATTTGTTCACAGTGGATATTGTGAAATAAAATTGGTGTGATTTTGTGTTACAACCGTCTGCGCAACTGAAGAATTAATGGAACCTTTAAAATATACGCTATTATTTAAATAATTTTATTATCAAAAAAGCCAACTCGATATATTTCATGCCAAACACTCCAAGAAGCATTTGAAAGCACACCCACATTCTAATTAAAAAAAAAGGAAGATTAATACAAAAATAAAACGATGGCTGCATGGCTGTACCTTTGCCTTTCTCAATAGAGAAAAATAGAACTAAAAAAAAAAATTTCATTGCCAACGTAATAAAAAATAATCAAAATGTCAATCGCCAAAATCGCCTTCAAATTCAATCAGCTGTCGAATTGTCGATTTTTTAGTAAAAATTATTTAATAATGTTTTCTCAACATGAAGGTTGATAAATGAAAAATAGAATTAACGGCGCGTTAAAAACTTGTGAAGTGAAGTGGTGTCAGTGTCGTGTGGTGTGCGATGGCAGTGGTTTGGGTGTGAGGGTGGCGCCCACCCAAGGAGAGGTTTGGTTTCGGGGCTCCAGGCATGCAGGGGCATGGCGGGCGAGGCTGCGGGCACGTCGCGTGGCCTCCGCGTCTACAAGATCGTGGTGCTGGGCGACGGCGGAGTCGGCAAGTCTGCTGTCACCCTGCAGTTCGTCAGTCACAGTTTCTTAGACTACCATGACCCTACTATCGGTAAGACACAGCTGCTGTGCTGGAGTTTTCCTCACAATTAATAAATAAAAACGTTATCATTATGGTACTCCTGTTTATTATTGATCTGCTACAGTAGAATAACAAAGTGTGCATAGTAATTTTGCTAATTTAATAAAGTATTCGTAATTTGTGCAAGTGTGATTAAGATAATAATACCTATTATTTAATAAACTATTTATTAGATATTCATAGTTTAGTAACATTGTTGAATACATATGAAGAACCTTTAAATATTTGCAATTTTTATAATCATGGATATATCACATAGAATTTCATATCCCAGATGAGATTTTAAATTCTCTTAAGCAATTGTGTGTACCCTCGCATAAACTCTAATTTAATAAAGTATTCGTAATTTGTGCAAGTGTGATTAAGATATTATTACCTATTATTTTATAAACTATTTATTAGATATTCATAGTTTAGTAACATTGTTGAATACATAATGATGAACCTTTAAATATTTGCAGAGGATTCATATCAGCAGCAAGCAGTAATTGATGATGAGCCAGCTTTACTGGACATATTGGATACTGCTGGTCAGGTATATATTATTTATTATTAAATGAATCAACAACCTCATGTCACATAATAAAACTTCTGGTTAGATCCCTGGTCTATTAATAAAATTAGGCCCAATAATCAGGCTTGATAGAGAATGAAAACCAGAGACTGTTGTTCAGTTCAGTTTTAAGTTTAGAGAATTGGACTAGGAACTAATATTATAGATGCGAAAGTGAGTTTGTTTGTTATGCTTTCATACCTAAACCTCTGAATCGATTATCATAAATTTTGGTTTACAGATAGATGGTAACTTGGTAATGGTTTACTATGGTATACAGTTACTTTTTTCTGTATAGTGAGTAACAAGGATACATTGTTGTCAAATTTAAGTTTCGGTTTAGAGAACCATGTCAGAATCAACAAAATTTTTTTCATAAAACTGTTCTATATGTGTTATTGCCATAACAAAAGATATAAAAAAAAATAACTAAACTCTTAAAATAAAAGAGTAGATTTTTATAGTAGAAAATAATCCACTTCATCAATAAGTATAAGCATTAGCATGACCAAGAAGAAATAACAACATTAATGAACGGTTCAATGAATTGGAGCTATATTTTAAAACCAAAATCTGCCAAACTTTTATGAAATTAATTTATTAGTATTATGCTAAAAAACAAACATAAACCATATCTCTATGTAAAAAATAAACAGTGCCATCTTCTGACAACAGTATTTATTACATTTTGTATGTATCACAAATTGATTGAAAGTTCTGGAACAAAAAATTTACCTAAACCATATTGTGATGTAAAAAATAAACAGCATCATCCCTTGACAATAGTAATAATAAAATTTTCTATTACATTCATAATTTGTATCATAAGGCCCAACAGATAAAAAATGTTGGACCTTCTATCAGTATATCAATTGAATTTTGAAGGCATAAGCAGAGATAAATGTAAAAACCCAAAGTGTTGCTACCACAAGGGGCGTTCTGAAGGAATTCAAGAAAGCCCCAGGTGTATTGTGGCTCTAGACTGCAACACAGCAAGAATGTAGTGTTAGGTATAGCTAAAGTTACCGACATATAAATTAAAGGCCATACTATCATATAAATCTTGATTTACTCACAACAAAATGAAAATTGTAGGTAATCCATGTTTATGTTTTAGTGCTTTTTTAAGAAACAACAGTGATATGTTAAAAAAGATGCAGGGAGACATAAAAGTCTATGTATCTGTAAATTTGTATAATCATGGACATATCACATAGAAGTTCATTTCCCAGATAAGTTTTTACATAGCAGCATCTTTAATAATGCTCTATTATGTGTCCATGATTTTATCCGCCAAAGACGAGAAAAAATAATAAAAGATCCACGCGGACCAGGCAGCAGACGGGACTCGAACCCGCACCCTTCGCAATCCGGGCGAATGCACTGACCAATTATGCTACCGCGGCCCTCACGGACCGCGTCGAAATTCTTTCTAGCTATTCTTAAGCTGCAAGGCAGCGCCATCTCTTCGCATTATAGGTAAACCCACAATGTCAAATGAATACTTTTACAAGTATTAAACATTTGAAAGAAGAAATAGCAATTATAGTTATAATTTTTATTATTTTTAAAGCATGTAACTGCTTGATGTTTAAATCCAAAGAAAATATAACTAGAAAAAAATCCACGCGGACCAGGCAGCAGACGGGACTCGAACCCGCACCCTTCGCAATCCGGGCGAATGCACTGACCAATTATGCTACCGCGGCCCTCACGGACCGCGTCGAAATTCTTTCTAGCTATTCTTAAGCTGCAAGGCAGCGCCATCTCTTCGCATTATAGGTAAACCCACAATGTCAAATGAAATCTTTTACAAGTATTAAACATTTGAAAGAAGAAATAGCAATTATAGTTATAATTTTTATTATTTTTAAAGCATGTAACTGCTTGATGTTTAAATCCAAAGAAAATATAACTAGAAAAAAATCCACGCGGACCAGGCAGCAGACGGGACTCGAACCCGCACCCTTCGCAATCCGGGCGAATGCACTGACCAATTATGCTACCGCGGCCCTCACGGACCGCGTCGAAATTCTTTCTAGCTATTCTTAAGCTGCAAGGCAGCGCCATCTCTTCGCATTATAGGTAAACCCACAATGTCAAATGAATACTTTTACAAGTATTAAACATTTGAAAGAAGAAATAGCAATTATAGTTATAATTTTTATTATTTTTAAAGCATGTAACTGCTTGATGTTTAAATCCAAAGAAAATATAACTAGAAAAAAAATCTGCGTCTGCTGCCTGGTCCGCGTGGATTTTTTTCTAGTTATATTTTCTTTGGATTTAAACATCAAGCAGTTACATGCTTTAAAAATAATAAAAATTATAATAATAAAAGATGTTAAATATGGGATCTTCAGTTCATGCTCAGGCAGAACATTACAGAACCTGTAAATGTATGGTTTTTTCTTTCTATTTGCATATCATTATACTTCTCCAGTTCACAGTTTTAATTGATTGTTAATCAGAATTAGTTCACAAAATCAATATTAACGCGAGCGAAGTTGTCGACAAAAGCTATTTAATACTATAAATCTGAAAGTTTGCATTCAATCATGCAAAAACAAGTCCGGCTCTTACGCACCCATTCCGCGACGCACTGTGGGGGCGCCCCGCCCAGGAAAAATGTTAGATTCTTATAGGATTAAAAAAAAAACTAAAGTTGACCCTTATGAAGTCGTAGGCGGCCGCTAGTACACAAAAAAAATATATTAGAATTTTCATTATTCATTCTGTTTGCAGGTGGAGTTTACAGCCATGCGGGAGCAGTACATGAGATGCGGCGAAGGCTTCGTGCTTTGCTACTCGGTGACGGACCGGCGCTCCTTCCGCGCCGCCGCCGAGTACCGCCGTCTGCTGGCACAGGCGCGCCCCGCGGAGCGCCTGCCTTTAGTGTTGGTTGGGAATAAGCTGGATCTCGCACCACGATTTAGACAGGTTAGTCAGCAGGCCTTTTTTTGTGTTGGAAAAAGTGTGATATGCATAATGCGTTATCAAACATTTGCCTTTAGTGTTGGTTGGGAACAACCTGGATCTCGCACAATGATCTAGACAAGTCAGTCAGCAGGCCTTTTTTTGTGTTGGGTAAAAGTGTGATATGCATCACGCATTTTCCTAACATTTGCCTTTAGTGTTGGTTGGGAATAAGCTGGATCTCGCACAATGATCTGGACAAGTCAGTCAGCAGGCCTTTTTTTTGTGTTGATTGGGGCCATTCGTCCGGTGTTGGAGGAGTGGGTGGGTCGCCGGCGCGGCGGCCTCTCGTTCCGCATGGTGCAGGTACTGACCGGGCATGGATGCTTCGGTCACTACCTGTACCGTGTCGCCCGTCGGGAGGAAACGCCGCAGTGTCATCACTGCGGCGCCCCGGACGATACGGCCGAGCACACCTTACTGGAGTGCTCGGCCTGGCGGCAGCAGCGCCGCGACCTGATTGCGGCGCTGGGAGGCGGAACCCTCTCGCTGCGGAGCATGGTAGAGGCCATGCTCCGTAGCGAGTTCGCATGGGAGGCAGCCGAGAGGGAGCGGGAGGATGATCCCCTGGCCGCTCCCTCCCGCAGAAGAAGAGCGGGCAGAAGAGGAAGAGTGCGTGCCCTGGCTACGCCCGTCCCATGACCCTGCCCGCGGGGATCCCTAGCTGGCAGGTACGGCGCATTGTGCCATGCCGGCCACCGAGGGATCCCGTGACGGCAGCCCCCATCTTGTAGTTCTGTCCTGCAAAGAGGGGGCGGCGGAGGGAGCTACACGGGCACGCCCAAGTAGTCCTCCGCAGCGGACGGGGGGCGGTACGGTGGGCACTAGGCCGCGTATTCTGCCCCCACGCGCGGGCCATCCTGCGCACGTCTGCGGGGTCCCCGCAATACCTCGGGAGACCCCTGCCGTGGAGCCCCGGCTAGGCCGGGAGGCTGCTGGGTGCGGAGACGCGGAAGAATCCCTAAACGGGGATCCCGCGGTTTCGCACTAAGCAGCTTAGAGGGTATTCGCAGGGTTTTTTAGCGGATATTATGCCGTAAAGCGCCCGTAAGAGTTACGGGGTCCTCAGTGGGCAGCCACTGTGGCGGCTCGTAAGGTTTGCGGGAGCCAGGTGTGAGGTCCGTTCGGCGGTGTGCCTCTTAAAGGCTCCGTCGTTTGTAAACAGAGTTTTTGCCTGCGTCACAAAAAAAAGGCCTTTTTTTTGGTAAAAGTGTGATATGCATTACGCATTTTCCTAACATTTTCCTTTAGTGTTGGTTGGGAATAAGCTGGATCTCGCACCATGATTAGGACAGGTCAGTTAGCTGGCCTTTTTTTGGTGTTGGGTAAAAGTGTGATATGCATAAAGCATTTTGCTAACATTAAAAAAAGTGAAAGACGAGCTTATGAGGGACTGCTCCCTTATCATCCAGCTCAACCACTCAACCAGCCCTGAGACTGGAAATATATCAAATTCATTTGCAAGTTTTACCATACCATTGTACAAGATTCGACTAATTTGAGAGCACTAAACATAAAAAAAGAAACATTAAAAGAACAAACAAGGAGCTTTAACTCCGAAAACAATTTTATAATGTTTTTTACCTCAAAGTCTCTTAAAAATATCCTATCGCATACTTAACATCTTCTACTTGTCATCGAGCTCGGTTTACATGATTCTTTTCGCATGTCTTGTCACTTTAGTGAAGTAGAGAAATATAATTGGACAGGTCACTACTGAGGAAGGCAAGGCTCTGGCCACGCAGCTGGGATGTCCATTCTTCGAGACTTCAGCGGCGTTGAGGCACTTCGTCGACGACGCGTTCTACGCGCTAGTGAGGGAGATACGACGGCTCGAGAGACAAAGACAGGTTTGTTTTACTGATATGTTTAGGTTTTTATTTATTTATTGAAGGTCAGGTGAGTGTATCCTTTACAAACGTGTCTTTTCTTGGATTTCACTCATATATGACGCGGAGCGCGGCGACAGACTGATCGGCGTGTTGATCGCACTTTCTTGGCCCCCTTCCTTTTGACGCAGTTTACGTGGAACCACTTTTTAACGCAGTTCGTGATCCATATTATTTCTAATTCGTTGGTACTCAGATAAACGTAGGCATCCATCCAGCTAAGGAAGGATTTTCCAACATTCACCCCCTTTAATATCATTATATAACATAAAGGTTAGCTAACATTACCTATTCCTTTTTGGAGATCAATTACTATTTTATATTTTTCATGATCATTTGAGTATGTGCCTATAATAATCATTTAATAAGAGATAACTCTTTATTGTACAGTGAAAACCCAGTGTTTCCATGAATCCATTGTGTAGAAATTATTGTCATATTAATGGATTCATAAACAAAATAAATAAAAGTTAGTTTTAATAAACTTCAATTTCTACTATTTAGATTAAAAAAGATTCCTTTGTGGGTCAAGGTATATGTTACTATTTATAATAAAATACCGGAAGAAATAATTGATTTCCTTTATAATAAGTTTAACATTTATTGCAAAAGGAGGAGGCTTCCTCAAGTGGGGTTACTATACTGTAAAAAACTATAAATGAAAAAGCACCTTGAGCTTAATTTTATTAGACTAGATCTTTGCTATTTTGGTTGAAAATTGATTATTTAAACCTTTTCGAATTGGAAATATTAATAATTGTAAAATAAATGTATATTTATTTAGTTTTTAAGCATGTGATGGAATTTGACAGTAGTATAAAATATGTTTTCAGTTTTTGATATCATCTTTCAACTGACGACGCTATGAAATAAAATAGGGAGAAAAAATAACAAGAGTTTGTAACAGCCTAGACTGAACAGATGATTTAGAATATTTAAATTTAATGGAAATGGATATATTAACGGATTTTCGCTGCCGAAAAACTGAGTTGATTTGTATTATCAACTCATTTCGATTTACTGGGTTTTCCTTGTACAACGACGTAAGGTTGTCAATAAGGCTGGTTAGGAAAATTTACGTCATCGCCACTGTGACAAGAGGTCATTTGTATTAAGTTTTTGGCGCGAATTAATCGAACGAGCATTTAAATTCATATACAGACTATGACGACATAAGTGATTTGACGGATGAGTAGACCTTTCATATTAGTGCTGCCACCTGGCGTCCGTCATTCCAGAAAACCCTCATTTTGAATAACAATAAATAAATAAATATTTCCAACACTCACACCAATTAGCCTATCCCCAAAGTAAGCACTGTAAGGCTTGTGTTATGGCATACTAGGGTAACGGATAGAATACATATACCGTACATATATATAAGTATATTTATATAGATACATGTTAAACATTTGCCCCCACCGGGATTCGAACCCGGGAACCTCTCGAGTCGGCGACACCATAAAACCCGCCGTACAAACCACTCGGCCACGGAGGTCGTAAAGCTAAGGAAGCTTATTTCTATGTGTTTCTGCAGTCTTCCTTGCTGGGTACGGGCATATCGACAGGCGGAGGCGGGGGTCGAAGGCGCTGGCGTCGCCTGCGTAGCATATTCGCGCTCGTGTTTCGACGTCGTCGCCGACACCACGCTGGCCCCTAGCCCTCGCCCCCCCTCCCCACTACTGCCACACTATTATGTCATCGGACCGCGAGTGACTCTAATACCACCGTCAATACTGTGTGAACGATGGCGTTTTTGCTCAGTATATTCCACTACGCTAGCCCCTGTCGTCACCTACTGCCACACTTCTGTGTCACCGGACCGCAAGTGACTCTAATACCACCGTCGATACTGTTTGAATGGTACACTGGCTACGCAGTATATTCTACTACGCCAGCCCCTAACGCCCCCTACTTCCACACTACTGTGCCACTGGACTGCGAGTGACTCTAATACCACCGTCGATACTGTGTGAACGATACGCTGGCGTTTCTCCGCAGTATATTGCACTACGCCAGCCCTTAGCGCCCCCTACTGCCACACTACTGTGCCACTGGACTGCTAGTGACTCTAATACCACCGTCGATACTGTGTGAACGATACGCTGGCGTTTCTCCGCAGTATATTGCACTACGCCAGCCCCTAGCGCCCCCTACTTCCACACTACTGTGCTACTGGACTGCGAGTGACTAATCCCACCGTCAATACTGTGTGAACGATACACTGGCGTTTCTCCGCAGTATATTCTACTACGCTAGCCCCTAGCGCCCCCTACTGCCACAATACTGTGCCACTAGACTGCGAGTGACTCTAATACCACCGTCAATACTGTGTGAACGATACACTGGCGTTACTCCGCAGTATATTGCACTACGGCAGCCCTTAGCGCCCCCTACTTCCATACTACTGTGCCACTGGACTGCGAGTGACTCTAATACCACCGTCGATACTGTGTGAACGATACACTGGCGTTACTCCGCAGTATATTGCACTACGCCAGCCCCTAGCGCCCCCTACTTCCACACTACTGTGCTACTGGACTGCGAGTGACTAATACCACCGTCGATACTGTGTGAATGATACACTGGCTACGCAGTATATTCTACTACGCTAGCCCCTAACGCCCCCTACTGCCACACTACTGTGCCACTAGACTGCGAGTGACTCTAATACCACCGTCAATACTGTGTGAATGATACACTGGCGTTTCTCCGCAGTATATTCCACTAAGCCAGCCCCTATCGCTCCCTACTGCAACACTACTGTGCCACTGGACCGCGAGTGACTCTAATACCACCGTTGATACTGAGTGAACGACGGCATCGCCTGTGTAGTATATTCGTGCTGGTATTCAACGTTTCACCAAATTTGCCATCCGAATGTGACGTCAAACGTTAGGTGTCCAATCAAAACGTCCCTGCACGCGGGCAACTTTGGCGATTTCGGTTTAAACAAAATTTGTGTAATGCGGGCTCTAGTGGGGGATGGTGGGTGGTCTATAGGTATCACTCCTTATGGCCGAATACACAAACACTTCTAAAATTAAAAAAGATCACTTTGTTTACTGCAGGTTCATCATTTATTATGTTGTGCAGATAATCCCGCCAATGTGAATAAACGAAGAATAAGCTTGGTTTAGTTAATCCATGTTTTGTTTTTGCTCGTTGAATGACTAATGGCGTTTGAGTGGCATGAACAAAAACACGGCGTTACTAATCTGAGCTTATTCCTTGTTTATTATTAAGTAATGTATAATTCTGCATTTAATTTACGTAATAATAGTATTCTTTTTTGGCAAATGAATGTTTGAGTATTTGGTTATTAAGGCTTAAAATTGTGTAATTTTATCGAAACTTTACTTCGGCGGTTTTGCGACTGCTTGGCTGTCTTTGTGGTGTCGCGCTTCGGATACATGTGCCATACAATAGTGATCAGATGTGCTTCTTGTGAGAAAAACTGTTGAAGTTACATAGTTCCTTTATTGTTTTACAGAGAATCAGAAATGTTTTATTTATTTACTAAAAAAAATAATTATTAAAAAAGTGCTTTAATAAAAATTATTACTGTTTTGTTATTAGGCATTTGGGTTTTATTTATTTAAAGTATATAATTTTGATGTTGTCAATTTACTATTATTAAAATATTTTATTAAACAACTTTGGAACTTTGTTTAACCAAATTTGCTTGTATTGTAATCGATGACTCCTGATATTTACTATTTCTCATATTGGCGTTTAAAGTAAAGTTATATGATTCGCTACATTTATAGACTTATATTAAATTATGTGTTCCTATAAGAACTAGTGAGAATTCTGGAAGCAGTGTTGGCCAAAGTTATATGTTTAATGATTAAATGAAATAATAATGCCAACACTATCTAGAAGATATACATATTAAGGAATGTCATGTGTTTTAACCGTAATGTCCTTCCCTTTTCTACCTCAAATCAATACAGACTAAAATCGCTTGTCTAAATGTTATTGTGTAAACAAAAATGTACCTAATGTTGATTGTGTTAAGAACGTTTTAAATATTTTTAACATGTTCAGTCTGAGGACCCCTTAAGGTAGGCGTTACTATGAAATGTGGGCCTAAAATGAAATGTCACTAGTTATTTTTATGAATTTAGAAACATTTAACTTATTGATTCAGACAATTTTACCTTAATTTAGATTTAAGATTAATAGTTGAGCTACATACAAGGCGTTTACACTTTCTGCTTATGAAAGCAATATATGATAGCGGGAATATGAATTCCCGTACACAAGCACACTACACTAAAACGAGACAATTGTGTTGAGTCACTTGTATATTCGAAAAACAATTCATGAATTTTTTGAAAACGCTCGGTTTGAACTGTTCTATAACTATTTACTACTGTATAGAACACTTCAAAACGACATTTTCTTGATTTTGTGCACTGGCTACGCATTTTTACTTTTAAACAAGACATTGAAGGAGAAAGTCTATATGCTGGTCTCTATCTCGCTGCACTGTAAGACTGTAACATACAGAAGAGAAAGTGTAATTCTGAATGACAATATGTGTATGTAGCTCAGTTTTTAATACATGTGGTATGTTAGTGCCTGCCTATGCAAATTAACGCCCGAAAAGTGCACTTTGAGACGTCACTAAAATTAAATGTCTGTTTGACTTAAATATGAATTGTCGTTTGAGTATGTTCGTAAATAAAAAAGTATTTTTTTTACAGAAATAAGAAGAGAAAGGTAATCTTTAATTCTAACATTATTACGTGTGAAATTGCTTATTAGATTATTCCATATGAATAAAGTCACTTGCAGTGCAAGGCAGGCATTAAAGTTTATACGGTATCAGCGTGTTCGTGTATAAGTGTCTAGTACAAGTTTTGTAAGCGTACGAAAGCTATAATTATCTTGTATAATGGGGCAAAGTAAACAAAAATCCATTTAGTCTGTCAGTTAGATTATCAAAAAATAATGGACATTTATTTTTTCTTTTGTCAATCAACCAAAAAATTATAAAAGATATTGCGCGTCAAAATTAGAGGGTGGGAGCCCGTGACGTCACTTGTGAGTAAAAATTGTACCAAGACGTTACGTCATGCGACATTCCAAATCATTATATCTCTGTAATTTTTTGATTATGGGAATAAAGGAAAAATACTTGTTCAATACATGACATGATATGACATTGCATAAATTCAAATTGCAAATTTATCAAAAAAAAACATGACAACCGTTTTAAAAACTTTCGAAACTTTTACTAGAGATATTGTAGTCACAATTATTAGGCCTACGCAGTATTTCCTTGTTATTAATTTTGAATGTTGGAAAAATATAATATTATTAGGAAACTGTTTCGTTTGGCCGTAAATGTTCGCAGTGAATTATTTATATTGAACATTTACTTGCTCTCGAACGTGTGTTAAACCCCAGTGCCACGAATTTTAAACAAATTATACTTATATTGAATAATAGTAGTACTTAACTGAAGATAAGTTTTAGTTTTAATAATTGTACGCGATCTAATGGCCCTCTTTGAAGAGGAATTAGATGTTTTGATGCAACATCAAACTATAGTTTCATTAAACTCGTTGTAGGTGTTCTAAGATATGTTCTCTGTTAAAATTATTATATGTGTTTTTCTGCGATAATGAATTTGCCTTATTGTGGCTTAGAAGCAGATGTCTTCCGCTACAAGGAACCCGTAAAAGCAATATGTATTAATGTAGAAAAATTTTGAAATCTATAGCTGTTGTTTTGAATCATTATTATTAGTTTAGAGTGTTGATAGGTAGCTCGTGGACACTAAGAGTCAGTTCACACCGCGACGCACGCGTCGCTACCGAAAGAGGTCAGTGATTTTGCGCTGCGCCGCTCTTGCATGCCTTGCGTATAGGTCGCGGCAAACTTGTTGAGCAAAATCACAGACAAATAAACTTTCTCAGTAGTCGTTTTTGCATGTGAAATTGCTACTGCGCAGGCTTCTTTGTCTATGGTCGTTGCCCAAGAAGTTTGCCGGAATGTATACCCGCTAAGTAACGCTATTCGCTGCGTGATGCAACATATTCTGAATTCTTACAATGATATGTATATCTTTTCGTGAAGTAAATAAAGTTAAGTCTTGAATTGCTCTAGTAAAATGTGCTCGCAGCGTCTCGGTGTGAGCTGACGCTTACAATTAGTGTGATAGGATTCAAATATTCAGTCGGAAACTTACGGAACACACAATAGGGGACTTGGTAGAGATTGAATTCCATGTAGGTAGTTGTATGTTAATGAAAGCCATATATTCGCGTTTTGTTAACCAAAGCAATTCCATTTAGTTACCAATCAATGAGTTGGTTCAATGTTATTATTAAATTAACCTTAAAGTACAATTAAGTAATGTAAGTGAGAATTATCGAGCTCCTCGTTTTAATCTGTGTGACAGAGACAGCAATAAGTATAATATAAAGTAAAAATATATTTATATTAGTGTATTTAATCGGTGTACCCAGAGTACCCTTTGGTGTCGTGAACGAGTGATGTGGTATTTGTTAATAGGTCGATACGCACAAATTTTAGTGTAGTGTTATTATGGTCGAGTGTATAAATTGTGTCCTTTTGAAGGCTGTATACCCTGGTTGTTGGCTATACCTATACTTAATAGAAGGTTCTGTCTAAGAATGAAAAATG